TTTATAAATTGCGCCCTAAGTTTATTTCTTGGTAGACTGGGATATTGGTGTTTAAGGTTTAAATGACTTTATTTACTGTCTTCATTTAATTAATTACGATCAAATTATATATTATAGTGTATATTTATGAAATATTATTTGATATAAGTAATTTTATGGGTAAATCATGTGGGTAGTTATTAAGAATTGATCGGGTCTGATCAATCTATTTTTCGTAAGGGATTTGTTTGTTCTTTTGAAATAGATATAATAAATTTATTACAGCCATTCTATTAAAATAGACTTGGTTTTAGCAATCATTTCCAAGAGAGCTATATGATATACAAGTAGTTTGCCGACTATGAGGGAAACAAACAGAAAACGAATAAATCAGGGACCGCAAATAATGATTATTTTGTTTTTTTTTTAAACGAAAAAATCATTCACTTATAGAACTTTTGGAAAGCGAGGAATTTACTGACATCCTTTTTAAGGATTATCTATGTATTTTCACCATGATTTATAAATTTTAATTTGTATTCATTCGCTCACAATTTAATGATTAATTTTGAGTTTTACTTTAAAAATTAACCAATAATCATTATTGATGAGCAAAAAAATAAAACTTATAAAATAATGATTATTCTTTGAGTCTTATTTTTTTGATCAAAAATAAAACTCAAGCTGAAATTTTGTCTGTTTCATAAGGATTAAGTCAAGGGGAACATTTTTAATGAATTAATTTTTAATTAACTAAATAATTAATTATTTTTAAAATCACAAATGCGAATGTATGTAACAGGCAGAATTATATTCAATGCAAGTGAGTGTCGAAGGGGCATTTTCTGCCCTTAAATTGGTGTTATCGGGTCTAAGGTGCAATCTTACGCCGGACTCATTACAAAAAATATTTTTTGTAAAATTAAATAATTAATAGTTAAAGATAATATTTAATAAAATAAAAATAAAATTTAAAAAAAATAAATTTTTTTTGTGAATTAAAAAAATAAAAATTTTTATTAAATAATGCACGATGCATTTAAAAAATAACCTATGCATATGATCAATGAAAAAACTTCAACAATACCAACTCAAATCCATTTTAAAGCGAAATATTGCGTCTTAATGATGAACGTGTGGTCAACTTTATATGGCAACGGCACTCCCTGACCCCCCCCCCCCCCCCCCTGCCAACGCTCTTGCTTATGATAATAATTGAATTTGATGACATTTTAGGTTATGGTGAGATATTTTTTAAAACATAAATACAACATTTTCCAACACTCTTTCATACGCAATGAAGTTACAAAAATAAGTGTGTGGCAACTTTATTAAATAATAAAGCCACGTAGGCTTGTAAAAAACGTGTACAATCCAATTTTGAAGTTCCCAGCTGTTATAGCTCAATAGTTCTCGGTGTTCATACAGCCGGACAAATGTGCATTCATATGTATTTGTCCATACCAATTGTTTTTTTGATGCTGATCATTTAGCCTGTTATATAATACATTCGGCGTTTAGTCTTTCTTGTATACCATTTAAGACTTCGGGTACAGTGTCACGTATAACTATCGGTTTAGGTTTAAAATTCTTCATTTTGTTTACTGGGTGCATTATAGGATTTAAAAAAATCTAAAAACATTTTTCTGATTAAGAAAATGAAGAAGTAATTTTAAATTTTTAGACTTTAATTGCATTTGAAGTCAAAGGAAAAATGTCAACAGAAGGCAGTGCTGACAGTTACAGCAACAATAACAACAACAGCAGAAGCAACGACAACATCCGCTTCCGTTTGGCATGACTTCCGCCAGCTGGCAATCACATTAGAATGCGCACGAGGCTGACAGTCGCTTGCCTGATGGATAGATGATTCGAGTCGAGTTGGGTCGGTTTTATGAAGCCTGCAGGTGTGGCAAAGGAAAGGCATGGCAAGGCAAGGCTTGGGTGTTATGTGTTGCTCCTTCCCTGCTCTGTCGATCATTGCACCCAGCCGAGGGATGTGCCAAGCATGTGCTCAAAACAATGACCGCCCATTGCTCCATAGCCATATCTTCAACTACACCTCCAACTCCAGCACCAGCACCATCTCCTGCTACTGCTTTTCCTTAATGCACTCATTTAATTGCATTATGCCGCAGGTCGCTGCTTCTTCAGCAACCGTCGTAGTCGCCATTGCCGTTGCTGCTGCCGTCGAGTCGTTTGTCTGTCGCGTTGCCTTAAAGAGCGCCTTTTACTTTTGCTGCCGCTGTTTGTGTTGCTTGCCACACCTGGTGGCACCAAGTGCAGCAATTTGTATGCATCGTATGTAGTTCTTGTTGTTGCTACTCCTACTCGAGGCGGCGTCTGTCACTGTGCCTGACTCTGTGTGTTTGTGTGGCTGTTGCTGTGGGTGTTGTCTGACGGCACTTAAGACCGTGATGACGTCGGCGTCGTCGTCGTCATCGTCGTCGCATTAATTTGCATGTGAAAAAGTGCACACAAGTTTTTATTTGTATTTGTTGTTATAAGTACATATGTATGTATGTATATTCCTAGCATGATACTTTGTTGTTGTTGTTGCTGCTGCCATTAGGGTTACATCTGCTGTTGCTGTCGACTTTAATGAAGTCAACAAGCTGCGGTTGCATGTCATCATCGCATTGTTATAGCCTGTACCCAAAGGGTGAAAGGCTATACTAGTTTTGTGCGCATGTATGTAACACACAGAAGGAGGCGTGGCAGACCCCACAAAGTATATATATTCTTGATCAGGATGAGAAGCCGAGTCGATATAGCCTTGTCCGTCCGTCCGTCTGTCTGTCCGTCTGTCTGTCCGTCTGTCCGTATGAACGCAAGGATCTCAGAAAGTATAAGAGCTAGAATAACCAAACTTGGTTTCCATATTCTCCTAAGACCGAGAAAGTACGAGTTTGAGTTTTTTTTCGATGCACCCCCCCACTCCCCCGCAATTCGTGTTTTTTCTTATAACTTCCGTAATTCTCGGAATTTTGAAATCAATTTTGGTAGGTACATCCAGTTAGTACTAATGTGTCCGTGTGACAAATTTCATCATGATAGGTCAATTCTGAAGAAAGTTATAGCCATAAGTAAAATCGCTGCTCATGCGCTGCCTCTGTCGGCAGCGCTGCCCGCAGCTGTTGTTGTTGTTGCTGCTTTGGTTCAACTTTGTGCTGCATACATACACGCATATAAACACGCATAGGTACGTGATGTAAATGTATGCTGTTAAAACTAAACATAAACATATATTCTAATTTAATTAAATTAATTAATTCATTAATTTTTTTTAATAATTTAATTTTTTTAAAAAAATTTTTTTTTTTTAATTTTTCTTTTTTGTGGAGAGTACAGGCTATTTTACTGTCGGGCTTGCTCGACTGTAGCGTTCTATCTTGTTTTCATTTAAAATTGTAATGTTTTTCAATTACAATGACAACAAATTTCTGTGCGGGTATAACTTCATTACATACTTTTTAAGGCAAATGCAATTTAATATTGTTCCTTGCATGGAGTATGTGCTGAAAAAATACAAGTAATTAGTTTTAAAAGGTAATTTTCTAGCCATGAAAAATAAACAAAACAATAATAATTAACATGAGCTTGATGAAGACTCTGCCTCATGATGCAATATTGGTAAATTGATTTTCAGCTTTACATTTTACAAATATTCCTTTAATGAAAGTAGAAAATATAATATAATAATAAAAAATATAATATAAATAAACTACATATACACATTTAAAATAGTAGAGATATTGTTTGATAGTTCCATATACATATATTTATATTTATTATATTTATAAAACGCTTTTTATAAAAGTTTCTTGGTATTAGGGCCTCTCTTATAAAGATTTTTTTAAAGTCAAAAATATGCAATTTTCTGTAAATTATTAATCAAATTATTATGCTCAGATTTTTCAATTATTTGAGTGTTGGATGCAATTTTTTATTTCCAAGTTTTAAAGTATTTTTTTCAATGGGCTGCGATCCTTACAGAGAAGTAAACAATTCACTTGTGATTGTGGCTGTGTGGTTGTTATTTATGTAAATTATCAAATTGTTATTAAATATATTTATTCATGGCGTATATACTTACAGCAATTAATTAATAAAAAAAACTCATCGACAGAACTTTTTTACAGTTTTCCAAATGAGAATAAGTTACGCAAATAAATGCATATGCATTAGAGTGCTGCATGTGTGAAGACAGCATGAACTCATTCAAAATTATATTAAATATAACCGGCGCACCGGTTCAGTGAGATTAACAAAATTTTCAAAATCTTTCGGATGCATTTCAAGCACATTTGAATTATTTTTATTTTTGAGGAAGCCAGATTGAACTTTCATTCACTCATATATCAATAATATTAAAGTGAAATTAAAAGGCATGCAAAATGCATTCGTTGGATGCCTTGAAAGAAAAAACCGAACACTATATGTATATATTCTTTCAGAACATTAAAATACAATCTGTTCGAAGACAGTAGTTGGTTGAATTAGATTCATAAATATCTGTAATCTCTAATAGAAATGGTATCGGAATGGACTGAACTCAGACTTCAAATTAATTAATGATGAATGAAATGAAATTAATTATCAATTTTTGTTTAAAACCTGAAAACCATTCAAATGAAACATGAAAGGCGTGATAAAACAATCACAGTAGTGCCATTCATTCTCATTAACAGATTTGTAAAGTCATTTGATAGCATATGTATATTTGGTAGAACTGTATGTTTAGCACTCTACTACAAAAACATGTTGAATTTTCATTTTTAAAATCTATGCTATACTACATTGTTTGTTAAGGTTATTAATTATTTCGTAGGCTACTGTAAAAATTTGTTATTTCTTATTAACATTATTAGCGTTGTTTTAGAAAACAAAAACAAAATAAAGATCACTTTAAGCTTCCATATCAGCACAAAGCTTAAAAAATAAGAACGAAAATGAGACATCTGCTTCACTTTAGAAAGAGAAGAAAACACAATATTTCATTGCACTTGAAAGCTGGCCGCTTAAATTTTGAAACAGCCACATGGCGAAAGTTGAAGGTCCTCAAAAGTCCAGTTCCTATTACGGGGCAGCAGCTTGCAGCAGGCAGCTGAGTCCACATTTTCCTCCCAGTTGGTTTTTATCCAACTAACGCGCGCCTGCGTACCAAAAAGTCCAATTTTTTCGCGAATATTATGATGGGCAGCCGCTGCTGCTTCATTATTCACAAAAATTATGAAGTAGATATAGCATTTGGGACGGCATTCCTGCACGCGAAGCTTAACATATCGCCCGAGTTTGCGCAACTCGCAATAGACTTGAATCGGAGACAGTTCCTCTACATTGTGCAAAATCAAGACTCGACAATTCATTGATTTTTCCACAGTTATGCCTAGGTTATGGGATCGAAAATGTTGAGGTAGTCTGCGGGGAAGGGGAAAGTGATGCAATATGTATGTATGTATGTGTGTGTGTGTGCCGTTAGGTTACGTACTTATTTAAAGCATTAGTCATGAGTTCCGCATCGATATACTGCAAGTAGGCATAGCCGCGAGAATAGCCATTGAAGTCGATTTTAAATCGCAGGCAATAAATATCACCAAAATGTTCAGCAAGCTTTACGAGCTTCTCAGCCGTCATCTGTCTCGGTATGCTCGTGAGAAACAGCTGGACAAAGAAATTGCGAAAAAATACCAAAAAGAACAAGAACAACAACACCTTTAGTCTCACCTCTCCATCACCACTTTCGAGTGCCTGTTGCAGCGCAGGTGAAATATTTTTGCATGTGCTAATATAAATCGTTCCGTTTACTTGGCTTTTGCGATATTTATCATTAATATCCATATTTTGGCGAGTTGTAACAAGAAAATTTCACCGAAACGCGTACCTAGCCAAGTGCGCAAGCTCAGCTGTATCGTTGTCTGCTAAGAAGAAGCACACAAAAAAGGAAGGTGGCAAGCGGACGGTTCGCAGCATTGTTTGAGTGTTGAGTAGTGACGTAAATGAAGTGCAGCGTTGCCAGCATACACAACACTTTGAATGCTCACGTAATACTGGCTAATTTTAAATTGTGCAAATAACTCTTCAGTTTCTGGTGCATGTCAGAGGTTTTTTTTTCTTTTTCACTTCTCGTGACAGCTTTTTCGCTCTTCGTGTTTAACAATTCAAATTTATGCAACTGGAAAACTTTGGACTTGTCGGGCAAACAATGCTTCGTTTGGTTGTTGATGTTGTTGCTCTTAGTGTTATCGTTGTTGTTGTCATCGCGGTTAAGCTTGGCATGTCTTCTCGGTCCGTGCTCTCTCAAGTGCTCTGTGCTCGCTGCTCCTTCATTTTACTAATTTATACGCGCGCCTCGCGCTAATGAAAATTTACGTTTGCTGCGGCAAAGTTGCGGTTGCTTGAACGGTTTGTTGTTGCTCCTGCTGCTGTTGTCAGTCTAGTTGTTATTGTTGTTGTTTTTGTTGCTGCTGTTACTGCTGCTGTTACTGCTGCTGTGCTTATTACAAATGACGTTGCGCTGCCACTTCAAACTTGCACGCAGGAAGCTCAAGTGAGTAGACGGTAGTCGGCCGCCTTCTGTGCCGAGTTGTGCGGTTGCTCGGAGCTGGAACCTCAGCAGAAGCCGCAACAGCCACCACTTTGAGTCTCTGTCATAATCCATGGCCCGGCTGTAGCTCGTCTTTGTTTTTCCGAGCTAAGCCGACGCTCCCACACGACAAAGGAAATCAATTAGCATTTCAGACTGTCAAAGCCTTCAAACTGCAGTTCCACTATCTGTTCAGCTTACAGAAATTGTTAGCCCAAGATTCAGTGGATGTTTCACAAAGTTCTGGACAAGTTTAAATAAAATCAATTAATGGTTAATTGTTAGTTCTTTTTGTTGATTCGTCAATTCGTCCTCATGAGGGCATACACAAGAGAATGTGTTGCAATTTAATGAAATCCAAACCGATTGAATTAGTCCCTCAAATGTGAAGTTGTGTTAATCTACTGTGGTTGGTTGATTTATTATTAAATGTAGATTAATTTTATGAGTGAATATAGCTGACCTTTTTTTGAATCGACTATCATATCGATCATGTTTTGAGATTATTGAAAGCTAGTGACGGTAGATTAAGAGCAAGGTGTTACAGACTCTCAAGTAAAAAGGCGGGTAGTTTAAAAATAAACTATTCAAATTATAAACAAAACGTTATTCAATTAAAAATTACACATTTTAAGTTTAGTCGACATTTAATTTCCTTGAATATTTTTACTATAAAATAAGTGCTTAAGGTATGCAGATTTTTATATTTTTTAGATATTAAACTTTAGCTAAAATCACTTACCACAGAAGAGATTATGGAAAAATCGTTAAGTTTGGTCAATTTGGAGAACACCCTATTAGTGCAGTTCGCAGAGCTGCAGAAAACAGATGTGGCTACTGTTATTGACAGCAAGAAAGAGGAGCCTCTGGAACAGCAATTTTTTAACTATATAAATTTTATAAATTAAATAATTCTTTAGAATCGTGTTTCCCAAACTTAGAAATTAGCTTGCGCATTTACTTGTCTCTCATAATGACCAACTGCAGTGGCGAACGTACTTTTTCAACATTAAAACGTATTAAAAATGAATTAAGGAACACGATGGGCCAAGAACGTGTTAATCATCTCACTTTGTTGAATATAGAGCTGATTTGCTTAGAGCAGTCGATATTGAAAGTGTTATCTCTAAATTGGACAATATTAAATCTAGAAAAGTTTATTTGTATCAGTTTTGTATTATTTAATACCCTAAACTTGAGAACCTAAAACAGACCAAGGGCCCTTTGACAGAATTTGCACAGGTCCCGCGCTCGCTTAATCCGGCACTGATAAGGTTACACGACATTATTATGATTATTTTGTTTTTTTAGCCGTAAAATTATATAATATAAATATAAATATAAATATAATATAAAAATATTTTTTTGTACAAAAATCAAACTTACCTTAATTTTGCCTGAATATAAGTTTTTTTTAAGGATGTTTCTTATCCCAAAACTATACTATAGAGGTTCGTCTTAGCTTATTGTTTAATGATATATATAAATTTTGTCCTTATGAAAAATGCAGGGACAATTACAGATAGGGGTTTATTTTTAAGTTGTAAAGTAATACTCAAAATTTTTTTTTTTTTTTTATATATAGCAGAGTGTATTTTATTTAAAACTGTCCATCATGGACAATCATTAAATTGGATAAAGATAAACTTCACAGTTTATTATTTCATTTAGTATGTGGTTGTAGTATCCGGCTAGTCCCTGGGGAGGTCCAGAGGATGGGTCCTGTGAGCGATTGAATAAATATTAAAACAACAAGTTTCGAATTCCCTTGGAACAAGATGTAAGTTGTTATTCATTCTGTTGCAGAACTGTTCGGCACAGGTGATAAAACGAGTCATCCGGGCCTGATACCGATGGGTTGCAATGGCCAGCAATCCAATTGCACGGACTGCTGATGAATATGATTGATAATGCAAACGATGGCATACCATGGACATTAAATTGCTTGAGGGCTGCACTGTGCTGCAAAGCTATGCAAGCAAAGCCAGTTGTATCCTCGTCAGAAGCTGCAGAAGGAGACATTGATGCAATTTCAGAACTACTTATAGCCGGTCTAGAAACAAAGAACAGCCGCTTTCATAAAGTATGACTATCAGTTTTTTAAATCAATATTTCAATATTTGTTATTCAATAAGTATGTAAAAATTAACCATAATTGGCTATTAATTAATGTGTATGTATAGTTAATATGCGAATAAGCCTGCAGGCCACTTAAAAAGCCAACTACAATTGTGTAATTATAAAGGCCGTCAGGCATTTCGACTTTAACTCAATTACGCCATGTAATGTTATTAACACGGTCCGGCAGTTGTTGCTGCGCCCATTAATTAATTTAAAATATCATGCTTTATTAAATAACGAAATTAAAAACACAATGTGCATAACAATGGAAAGAGCCAGAAAACCAACAACAACAACAACAGCAACAACCACAACCCCTCCAAAGCAATAGAAACTACAACGACAACATAAAGCAAATAAACATAGAAATTTATTTTTGCTTGGCAAAAGAAAACGCACCGCAGCAAAATGAAAGGCGGCAAGCAAAATAAACAAAAGCAATAAACAGCAGCTATTTTTAATTATGCAATGCAGCCAGCAAAACAACACAAATAACAATAATAGAAAAAACATCAAAACATAACACAACTGAAAAGAAAACAAACAATAAATGCACAAATTTGTACAGAAAAACTGAAAACACACACAAAAATGGCTGCCAGCCATGGACGCCATTTTATAAGCAACTAACAGCGAAAAATGTTTAAAAAAACACATAGAAACTGAGAAAGGGGCATGGAAAATTGTCGCAACAATTATAGAAAAGTGGGTGTGGGCGTGGATGTGGGTGTGGTGGGCGTGGTCAAAGGCAGACTGTCAGAAGTTCTTAAGCACCGAGTTAATTGTTCAAATGTGGCAGCATTGGTCAATGAACTTCTGGCAACGCGTTGCGGCAACGGCACTTTCAACATTAAAATTCATTATAACAATAGTTAATAAGCTAATAGGCTAAAGGCTATTTTTAATGGTTTTTTAATGGCGTTGCCCTTTTAAGTTTTAAAATTGCAAGGGAAGAAAAAAAATCGAGGAAAAACGTTCTAATAATTTCCAAGTTAAATTTTTGTATAACTAAAGTTGAGAAATAACATATTCATACGAGTCTCTGATATCGCAACACTGGAAATACTTGAAATTAAGAATAGGAAGCAGTTAGATTTTTGCAATTAGCATTCTCAAAGACAATTGTATATTCAATTGCTTTTATAATGTGATTGTTTCAAGTCAAAGTTTTATTAAAAAGCACGTCCTAATTGTTTGCCTGCTTACCATATAGATAATAGATATAGATTTCAATCAGTCGATTTTTAAGATAAGTCAGATTTAACCTTGTCTTTTAAGTGACTAGACATTTAAGACATGTTAGGCCTACTTTTTTTTTATCGTTTGCAACAATCTCACTTTTTTTAAATCCTACACAGTGGCTTAATTTTATTTAGTTTATGAACCAGTTTACAAGAATTTAATATAATATTGCTAAGATATTTTCAAGACTATTAAACTCGTGTTTTTAAAGAAAGCATTTGCTTTTTCTAGCAACCTACTGACAATACGTGATATCATATTTATTTTGCATTACCCATGGGATGCTTTGGCTTCAACATCATTATCCTTGCAGCCTTAAAGCTGGCGAGCTTAAACCATTGGCGAGTGAACGCCGGCTCACTGGCATTTAATTATTGTGCTAAATGTGGCAGCACATGGCCGCCTTGCGTATGCAAATTTATAGTCTATATTTAGGCATTTGCACATGCCGGACGGCTGACACACACAAGCACACAAGCACACAAGCAAATACACACAAACACACACAGCTTATATACGCACATTGCAAGTGGTCGCTTGTCTGTGGCTGCATTAATTAATTATTTATAGCTGGGAAACATGTAGCCAACAAACTGGCTGGATGACTGGATGACTATGATTGACTATGACTAGCCGACTCGCTCATTGGCCCACTGTCTGGCCCGCACCCTCTCCCACCCGATCTGACTGTCTGTCTGTCTGTCTCTCTGAGAGGGAAATCAGTGCATTGTTTGCTCCGTTTAGGCATCCAGACTTTAAACTTTAAGCAACGCCCTCGCATACGAGTATGACGCCCTTGGCACTTATCTAATCGCAATGATCGCAATTTATATTTATGGCTCCTATTTCGACTCTTGTGCATGCCAGACACGCACACATAATTATAATTTTTACAACGTCTAAATAAACGCAAATATTGTATGCATGAAGGCAATGCCGCAGCTCAACAAGTGTGGAGAGAGCGGGGAGGGTGGTGCGACGGTGCTGGGGCTGTAATGAATGGCAGTCCAAAGAAGGTTCGCAGCAGCAAGCCCAAGTGGAAACAGAAACTTCTATCAATCCCCCTCCTCCAATACGCTATCAGGCAGAAGATTATAATGACTGTGTTATGCAACTTGTTGAGCAAAGATACTTATTTATAATCCAATTGATGTGGGACTTGTAGAATAATTCAATTGTTGTCTGAAATTATCATAAGCTGCGATATCTAAAATTGATGATGTAATGTTTTTAAAATATTCAAAAGCAATACTTTACTATTGATTCGTATTATTACTTAAATATGAACTTTATCTGATGTACATTAAAAAAAATAAACTCAAATATTCTGTTCCTATTTTGAAACTTATAACGAATTCAATAGGTTTATGTGAATAGATTAAAATATTATATGGAAATTTACTGCTTGTTTCAGAATACTAATTTAATAAATTGTATATACATTTTTTAGAAAAAACTGCTTGTTCAAATATTTAAATATAAAGGCAAATAAATAAACTAATAGCAAGCTCTTTATAGCTGGCAACAAAAGAATTTAAGTTACTTGTATTTTACCTCAAATCAAAGGTGCCGTACTTGACGCTAAATTTTCAAAGAAATGCGACTTATTATAGGTCCCATAATTGACGGTAAATTTTCAAAGAATGGCGACTTATTATAGGTCCCGAACAATTATTGTACCACAAAATTGGGCCCATAATGTTGAGCTCAATTGATAGATTCCTGCAGCATCTAACAAGCCTTAATTTATTGTTATATAACTTATAGCTGGCGAAATTCAAACTCCAAAAATGAAATCGAATTGCGAAATGCCAAACGTGTTATATATTTTTATTCGCATAATATTAATTTAATATAACACTAACATTACTTATGATCTTCAGGAAGATGTTGGAAAGGGCATGCAGACCTTGTCATATTGTCATATAAATTCTGAAATCTCTTTCAAATAGCACTTACAATATAATTTATGCGTATTGCTGTCGCTCCCACAGCAAAATATTAATGGCTGTGAGCGACCAAATCGCGAATTTATTCTCCAGCCCGCTCTGACGTCAGCAGCAGGCGAAGGCTATAAATATGATTGACACGCCTGACCATTGTGCCAATCAAATTTTGGATTTCGAGTGCCCAACAGCAAAGAACCTTTAGCGGACACACACACACACACACCCAAGTACCCAATATTTTGGTCATGTTGCTTAAATTACTGGTAAGTGTAGAAGTGGTATGGAACTTTTTTCCAAAAACCGATTGAGACGTAACTATAATGATCTGCAGCTCGCGTTGGGCGCTCTGCTCGGCTTCTGCTGCTCCTGGAGCAGCAATTGTGTGGATGCCAAGCCGCAATGGTTGGCCACAGTGCCGGTGAGTTATGCCACGCCCGCCTGGATTGCTGCTGCCGCTCCAGCTGCCGCTCCTGCTGCCAGCTATTATCCTGCCTATGCTGCGTATGCGTATACGCCCGTATATGGCTCATACGCCACATATCCGTACTACACGTATTTGAGGCGCTGACTGTGTGTGTGTGTGTATATATCAACCAATATTTTTAGCTTTTATTTTACAATATGCTACATTTTAATTCATTTTATTCAAATTTGTGCCCGGATCGACTAAATTGATTAAATTTCAATGTTGTGTGTGTCTTAAAAAAAAGAAGAAGAGCAATAACGAAATATAAAAAAAGGTGCGCGTGAAAATCTCATATTTTACGCTGTTTTTACGTTGATTCGATTAGGCGGCGGTGACTGTGTGAAGCTGGGAGGGAGTGGGAGGGAGTGGGTGCTTAAATAAAATCATTTATGAAATCAACATGGCAACAGACACAGACAGAGGCACACACAGCCACGGACACGCGCCGATAAACAAATCAATAAAAAACATCTGTGTGTGTCTCTGTATCTGGAGTATCTGAGTACCTGCATCTGTAAGCAACAGCGGCGGTATTTTCATTTGGTCCGTTTGTCTGTCTGTCTGTCTGTCTGTCTGCGCCTCTGAATTTACTTACATGTGCACATATTTTCACTTGCACATCTTCTTCGGTCCTGGGTGTGGGACTACAGCTTGTGTGCGGCTTCCGTTCTTCATATTCAAAGCATACAAGACAACCCACTTGTGTGTGCGTGTGTGTGTGTGTGTGTGCGGCTTGGTAACCCGCTACTGATTTACCTTACGTGTATGTATAAATCTTTTATTCATGTAATCCATTTGAAAAACACGTTCACACATGATTGTATTTATTCCGAAAGGGAATCTTGCTAACCAAACAGCTGCTTGCACACTTACTCGTATCCACCACGCATGAATGTATTTAAATATGTATGTACATGTACTTGTATGTATGTATAAATTTGATTTGAAAAATCGTCAAAATTATATAAAGTGAATACAAATTTTATTTACTCAATTTTATTGCTAGCCAAGTGGAGCAGATATACATACATACATACTTATGTGTATCTACAAGTATAGTAGATTTATGCATGTTGGGTTGGCCATTAAAATAGGCTCAAGTTATTTTCGTTCTCTTTGACGACGCATCATCGCTTCTACCTTTTCCCTTTTACTGCTTACTATTATTGTGTTTGTGCCAACAACAAACATCGCAAACAGCTCTTTAAGTCTAATGCGCTGAAAACTTTTTCTGGCTTTGAAAACTTGATTTGTTGGGCATAGCTTTTGATATATGTATGTATGTAATTGAATAGATCGGATATTTGACTTTATGTAGTTAACTCGTGCTTAGGGTCGCACGTTTATTCTAGTAATTTTATTTAATTTGTGTTATGACATCGTTCTGTTTCTGTAGACCCCAGGTAGGTGGATGTATTTCTGATTAGCATAACATGTTGAGTCGTTTTAGACATGTCCGCCAGTACATCGGCACAAGAATCTGCCAAAGTATAAGGAATAGAGTCGCCAATCTCAGTATCCATCATCTCTAATTCTAATGGGGTTATTATTATCATATGTTTTAAGTTGATTGTATTTATTTTATTACAAACCCATTAATGTTCGTTATTGTTATAATAACAGTAAAATGAATAAAGAAAAGAATAAATAATATTTTATGTAAGCCATGAACACCTGAAAAATTACATTACAAGTACATATCCAATTTAAAATCCATCGTTTTTTTAATAATGATTGAACCATTTTTTAACGGGATCAGAAGAACTTGTACAGAAGTTAAAAATGTATCCGAAAGCTTACTGGATATAAAATGATATTATGATAGTTTTATTATTTTCAATGTTCTGTCCTCAGCCAGACTTTAAACAACGTTTTAACCGCTTGCGACCAACATTTCAAAGGCATACCATTATTTTTAATTTAAATTTTGTATGTGTTGCATTCATTCGAAGCTAATTTGCCTTTTAAGTGATCAATGTGGCAGGTTTTGCGGTCCAAATTCTACGCCCTTTACTACAAATTTCGACTCAAATTCCACAGCTCAGTAAGTCAAATAAAACAGCTTGTCGTCACAGTTCTGGCTGCAGTTGCTATTTCAAGCATATTTTTGTAGAAGAAGAAAATGTGGAAATATGACCTCAAAGCACTGCATGTAAAAATATTGTAGAAATTGTATATGCATGCCTGGCTGGTATCCGCCCATAAACGAATTGAAATGAAATTAGTTGCCCAAAAGTCGACGAGAAACCAATTTTTGACCTCGTTACTCGTTAGCTTTGGCTTTATGCTTCTCAGTCACATGCAGGCTCTTCCCCCTCCCCATCCCACCAACTAACCGCATGCACATCAAAAAGCCAAAAACACGGCACACATCGATGAACTCTTTGCATGACATAGACGCTCCCAATACAGGCTCTTCATTCAATACTATAAAGGACGGTCGACTTCGTCCATCGTGGGTTGTACGATGGATAGGGCCGTTTATTATTACGCTTTAAATCGAAAATGTAACTGAATTAAATTTAGGAATGATATCTTGTTATGTATGCTATCGATCTAATAAATTATCATCCCTAATTTTATATTAAGTATCATCCTTAGCGTCATTTGTACTTTTGCTTGTATCAAATAAACAGCACTTCGTAATGTATTATTCTTAGGGAAATATTTCCTATAATAATTTTTTTTTCAAAGAGACCCTATTTTGTAAAGAAATTATTAGTGAAGAGCATTCCAAGCGTTGACTATTGAGCAAAAGTTGTTGGACTGAGTATGACCAGAGCGACCCATCAATCTACTTCTATTACAATTTCTATCGAATGTACATATGTATGTATGTATGTATGCACATAGTACATATTGTATGTGTAGAGAGTTATTTCCACGTTATGTTTCTTTTTTTTAGAAGACTGCCATTTTGTTGCTCAGCTCTTATCCACCTTACGAAACTTACTTATACTTATGTTTTTATACTCTGTACATGAAATGTACAAGAGTATATTAGGTTTCAACAAACGCCAAAAAGTTAGCCACAAAATCGTTGACTGTAAAATGAAAGCATCGATAAAGTGTCGTTGCTATCTTGTCATACTGGGACTCTATCAATTGTCAATCACCTAGGGATGTAAAAAACAACATCGATGCATCGAGAATCAACGATATTTTTACCACGATGCATCGATGGCTTCCGATGGTTTTTTGCTAACGATACATTGTCGATCCATCCAAAAATCGAACATTATTCATGTTTTCTTGGGCGATCACATTTCTTTGTGTGGTTTACCGAAGAAGGTATATTTCTATTATAACCTATTTGATGTTTTCATTAAAATCTGTATTTTGCAATATAAATTTTAGATTGATAAGCATTTGATCTTCATTTTTTCATATATAATAACTTTATATGCTTTAAAGGCGTAGCTGCAACGCGTAGTTGTTTTTAAAACTGTATGAAATAAATTTGTTTTGAAATAGGCCATACAAGTTCATCAAAAGTCAATATTACGCGTACTTTATTGGTTAACAACGTCAAGTAAATTACTATGACAGTCTCTCTTGATATAGAAACATTTTTTATTTTAAACATCTCTGTTGATTTTCTCCCTAATATTAGCTTTTTTTCTATGGAAAGTGAATTGTTTAAAACATCGATGCATCGATGTTTTTTTGCAATGCATCGATTTTTTAAAAACAGATATCGATGCTGAGAACATTAAAATTTGCAGTTTTTTACGCACACAAATTATTAGTTGAGTCGATGTTTTTCAAAATATTTCAAAGGAAAAAAAGAATTAATTTACTTTTCAATATTTTGTAGATCCGCTATTGGCGTCCTCCAAATGTCAACGAATACTTTCAAATTGATCATATTTACGCTGAGTTCGATTTTTTTTGATACACCTCCCCACTTCCCGCATATGACGACTTTTTGGAAGCTATAATAAAACATATCCCAGGGATAACAGATTTAATTCCAAGATGAATACGCAAAAAATGTGAGAATTTCCTTTCCTCCCCCCTCCATAATTCAAGTTTCATTATAGATAGGCCGATTTTTAAAGAAGTTATAGTCATATATGTAACCGCTGCCCAAGCGCTGCCTGCACCTGTTGTTGTTGTTACTGCTAAATGTGCAATTATAAACCCTTTGGGTGAGTTCGAATACCAAAGGAAGTAAAAGTGATCGCAAATGTTGTCAGCTTATGTTAAATTTCTTTAATGTTTTTAATTTTTTTCTAATTATTCTACACATATGTATGTACAGAGTATTTCAAAGTTGGGACACCTGACTTTAGCTTTTCCACTTCTTTCCTTTTCCCTCTTTACGCTGCCAGACTGCAGCACTCTTGGCACTTGGATTCCCCCCCTACTGCTTTTGGATTAAACTTTCTATTTAAAAGGATTTCTTTTCATATGAAATATGCTTCCTTTCAGCGCACGCTTCCTGCGCTTAAAGATGACGCTCTGTGGCCAACGGCAGTGGAAGTTTTCCGCTTGACTTTGTCTGCTAACTGCAAGTCGAAAGCCGTCGCCGTCGCCGTCGTCCTCGTGGTCGTCCTGGCTGTCCTAGTTGGGACTGCTTATCATAACTTTGGCATCACCGCTTGGCAAGCGGCAGGTAGTAAACGTAAGTAGTGGTAAAGTTTGCTGGGAAAGCGGAAAACGGTAGTAAAATCAAGTACACGGCACATTGGCGCTGCTACTACGAGTATTTGGAGCCAAGAGTTGCTATTGGAGTTGGGTTGGTGGGGGAGGGGTGGATTGGATGTGAGACTGTTGCGACTGCTCGTTGCTCCACTTTCACAAGTTCTCGCAACAGATAGCGTCCAAATTTAATGACCTTTTATTCAATAAAACTACGTCAAGCTGCAAACTTTCTGCAGCGTCAAGCGTCGTAATGCGTTCCTACTTACCCGCAGTTCCTGTCGCCTACTTCCAGCTTCTGGCATGGTTTTTATGTAGTTTCCTCATTTTTTATGTCAACTTTGTCTTGAAGTAGTGCAGCTAGTTGGCAAGCAACCGATGTTACACTTTCTAATTGGTGTGTTCAGTTAATATTGCTACAAAAAAGCCTGCAATATAGTACATACTTGTAGTACTTACTTGTATGTACTTATAAAAAGCACCTTGCTTTTTTTTCTATGCTCAATAGACAATTTTGAAATTTTTGGCCTCTTGAAATGACTCCCCGGTGGATGCTTTCATTAGCTTTAGTTCAAAGTCACTCAGATTGTTGAGCGACAACTTTAATGTAGCTGTGGCGAGATAATATTATATTTTTTAAATATTGTGTAATCTTTTGAAACATACAAAAACAATTAGCGCCTGTCATAGCTCAATGAGCTAGCAGGGGCCCCACAATGTCAGTTTGTTCCAATGAACCATCATAAAAGATTGTCATAAAACTTAATAATTGTCCTACCTAAGATTTGTATCCTCAATTAAGATTAAAGATTAAAAAAATACAAAACAATTAAACACTTCTATCTGCAATACAATGTTAGAAATAGGAGCACAACCCAATACTTGCAATCCAATATACTTAGTTTTCGGAAACATGAAGATCCAGTGTGACTAGAATTCAACACCATCCTGAACATTAACCATGCAATTGTCAGCTTCTCGTTATAGAGTCAGAAAACTTTGTCTCTCTGGAAACCAAATCCAATTAAGGAAACTAGAGAAGCTTACTTCATTTCTCATACAACAATTATACAAAGTTAGCTAAATACTTAATATCATGGCATACATACTCGTATTATGCCGATGTCCAAAACATCTCCAATATTGTAAAAAATGATCGATATGAAGTAATTACTAAGACATTGATCAGGATTTAGGGTTCCCAGAAATATCGTTATTGGTATACTTACTATAATTCAATACGCAATTCATTGCTATAAAATGATTTTTATATACATACAAGTCAAAAATCTATTCTTTTCTACATTTCAAAACAAGTTCGGGAAAAGTTTCTTAAAGAGAACTGTCTCAAATCGAGAGATATAATCTGTTTTTTGAGATTCGAAGAAATCTAAATTTATCTAAATCTAAGATTGTTTTTGGGATACTTAATTCACTGTGCGATTCGTTTATATAAAATTATTTTTACATGATTTTTATATACATGTCAAAACATTATTCTTTTCTACATTTTAAAACAAATTCGGGAAAAGTTTTTTAAAGAGAACTACCTCAAATCGAGAGATATAATCTGTTTTTTGAGATTCGAAGAAATCTAAATAGACTCAAGATTGTTTTTGGGATACTTAATTCACTGTGCGATTCGTTTATATAAAATGATTTTTACATGATTTTTATATACAAGTCATGGATATTTGAGGTAGTGGTTCTACTTCTTGAACAGCAGAGGCGCGACGGGAGCAGCGGCATAGCGAGCGGCCACTGGAGCGGCCAGAGGAGCTGAGTACGCTGCAGCGATGGGAGCAGAGTAGGCGGCGGCAATGGGGGCGGAATAGGCAGAGGCGTAACGAGCAACTGGTGCGGTATAGGCGGCGGCTATCGGAGCAGAGTAGGCAGCAGTGAGGGGTGCAGAGTAGGCAGCAGTGAGGGGTGCAGAGTAGGCAGCAGCGATAGGTGCAGAGTAGGCGGCGGCGGCGAGAGGAGCGGCAGCATAGCGAGCGGCAACTGGGGCAGCGATGGGAGCGGTGTAGGCAGCAGCGGCAATGGGAGCAGTATAGGCAGCTGGGAAGGCAGCGCTGTGAGCCACATTCGAGGCAGTGTAGCTAGAAGCGTATGGAGCCACGTAGGCGGCGCTGCCCACCACAGCGGGGGCGGTGTAGGCCAAAGGAGCAGCAGCAGCCACAACACCAGGCTCTGCGGTGGCTACAGCCAACACGGCGCAAAGGCAGACAGCGAACTGGAAAGAGGAAAGAAAAGGACATTAGACTGATTTTTTTTTTAAAGAACATGAAACTACTCAGCTACTTACGAATTTGAACATTTTGGAATTGATTTTTTGGTAGTTTCTTGAGCTAGTTGTTAGCACTTGAAGCTGTGAGCTTGTTTTGATAATTTAACAGCCAGCAACGGGCTATTTTATAGTCCACGATGAGTATTGCTGAAAGCCACAAACGCATGTGACGCATCAGGGCCTCGTGTGAAGGCCTTAGCGCGTTTAAAAATGCAGTCGGCGATGTCGCTGCTGCTGTTGCCAATTGGCAGACACATTTAATGGGCCAATTCGTTGTTTAACAGCATTAGTGTAAGACGGCACGTGCCTTCGCGAATTTCATTATACGCCAGAAAATGAAATGCGCATGTTTGGCTTCCCCAAACCAATTTCCCATAGCGACTACTCTCGTACACATTTCTATCAAAGAATATATGGTACATATGCATGTATTTAGGTACGTGAGTACAAAACGCCATAAACCAATTATTTTGCACAAAAGTTTTAGAGAAACCATACGCGCACTCATCTACGTCCCCCTCTCTTCTGGCCAAAATTTTAATAACTTCATCTAATGATTGGCAATCTGTAACTCCAAGCGCGGTCGTGCTCGAGAGCTCCTGATGCTCAGTTCAGTATTGGCGATGGGTGCGTGAATGGTGCCAAATAATGGTCACGAGGTCATGGAAAGCAAACCGCTGAAGGAACATAATAATGAAAATTTAACCCTCGAAGGGGGAAAATGTATTTCTTATAGGCAATGCATTTGGTACTAAAATTTGAGATACGCTTTATTATTATTGTTTTTGACGTTTCATTATATTTATTTTTGAAGTAAATCGGCCTGCAATTTGGGCATAACAAAACAATTAACTATTACAATTACGCAAAACCTAACAAGTGTACAACACTTTAATGCTAACAATTAAAACCCATATCTTAATAAGTCAGCTGGCTGCCTGCTTTTGAGTCGTATTAATGGGCGTTCATCAGGTAGGGGCTTGACCAACCTGGAGCGGTGATTTATCGGTTGATTTCAAAAATTTAATCTAAAAAAAGTAAAATAATATATTGTTCCATTAAAGTCACTTTATATTAGAGAGGTAATTCAGAATAGATATGTTCAGTAGATGGAGTACTTTTGTATCATTCGATAGATGAATTTAATTGAATTGGATAAATTACTTGCCGATGAAAGACTAAGCCTTCTCACATAATATAAAAGAAAAATAGAATTCCTATAATAGGAAATGAAGAACCATTTCATGTTGTGTAAGCATCTGGATAGTCCGAATATTGTCGCAGTCTTGCAGCTAACCGAAGAAAATGATGAGGAAAAAATGTTAAATTTACTCCAATAAATATAATAACAAATTGACTTTTTAATCATTTCGAATTCAATGCGAATCCTGTAAATAAAGGCGAGCAACATACTATTTATTTGGAAAATACTGCCAAGGCTCAACAAAACGTGATAATTGAAAAAAAAAATTTGTATTCTTAAATGTTTATTGAAGCGACCAATTCTTAAATTTCTGTACTATATTATAGCCATATAAGTCAGCCCTATGTCAATTTTTATTTTATTGCACGCTTTACGTACTACAAGTATGTATGGGCATTAAAATCAATAATAAATACTACAAGTATATGTCAATACAATACAATAGATCGTTTGAAATACTGCTCTGTTGAAATGCTTTTGAAACCGAAGAATTTTAGATTTCTAAACTGGGATGTAATCTTTATGCTTTTTCTATCCTGCACCCGAAGGATTACAAACATGACACATATATTATTCGCGGCCCATAAAGGTGTACAAAATCGATTACGATACGTTTTGTAGTTAAGAATATATTACAAGTATATTCTTTAAAATTGAGGATTTCTCTTATACAGATTTCAAACTTTAAGTCACTTTAAGTAGAAATTTGTTCTTGAGTTTGGCATAATAAGAACACGAAACGTGAGTTGCGTGACTGTAAACGCCGAAGTGAATCCATATCTAGTGCTTTCTGGAATTCATTGTGCATTTTCATGAATAATTTGGTGGAACCACTTAAAAGGCAACGCTGGCAGCAGTGGCGAAGACGTCGTCGCACGCACTTCTAAACCAAATCCGAAGCGAAAATTTTTAATAGACTTGATGATGGCTTTGGTAAGAGGTCTGTGGGTGGTGTGTCCATTTTTGTGTGTGTGTGTGTGTGTGTGTGTGTGTGTGTGTGGGTGGTTCATGGTGGTTCGTGTTTGCTGCTCACGTTTTACGGCACTTAAACGACGCATTAACGCGCACGCACAGCTGCTGCCACTGCTGCTCCTTGTGCTCCTTCCGCTCCTGGCATGCCTTATGTTTCCTCCAATTCCACTTCTTTGGCTACCCATCAACATATTTAGCACCTAACCCAAGTTGCTTCTTTATTATGGCAATAAACTCACTCGCTTTGCGAAAAAGAAAAAAAAAGGAGAAGCAAAGTGGCGTATATTTCACACAACTTCTCTGCCACCTTCCTCCACCACATCCTCTCCCACGCAGCACTAAAGGAGCAGCTGTTGGCTGGCAAGGATTGGGCTAGTCCTTTGACTTTTGCTTTGTGCGAGCGGCGCACTTTTTTCGTGTGTGTGTGTGTGTGGATCTTTTTGTGTGCACATTTTTTAATTACTCGCGGCAAAGCACTTTATGCGATGCCACTCCCCACCCCCTCTCTGGAGAGGGTATTACGCCAACAGTTAATTGCAGAAGCTGCGAGCCACACTGCACCAAAACAAAGGCTATCAGACTGCATTGGCAACTGCTTTGAAATGTTGCAACAGCCACTTGAGATTTGCGGCTTGTGGCATCAAAGCTTTTAGATGGATTAACCAATATATATAATAATAATTGAAGTATGTGCCACACACACACACACACAGGAATACACACACATGTATATGTAAATGCATTTCGACGGCGCGACGTCATAAACTTGACAATGAAATGAAATGAGCGGCGACGACGGGTTTTTCATAAACTGACAAACTGACAAAGTGACGGGGCGAGACGCTTGGTGTTTGATGGCAGGAACAATAGTGGTGCAAGGACACAACGGAGCCATTCACACATGCAAGCGCTCCTGCCACGCCCATCTGGGTTAGGCAAAGTCAAGTGGCAGACTCGGTTGTTGTGGGTGGTTGGGTGCTTGAAGCGGTGAGTGAGTGACAAGTTTTGTGGCAACTGGGCGGACAGAAGCGGTTGACGTGTCAAAACAAATATGCTTCATCGGAGTGTGGTGGTGCAGGGTGTCTAAACCAAGGCGGACTTGTCCTTCAACTCAGTGAAGACGGGAAACTTGAAAGGAAATACATAGATGATTGACCAAATTGGCCAAATGTTCAGCATAAATTATCTCGCAGAATACAACACTTTTGTAGTGAAGCGGATAATAGAAAACGAAGGACACGCCGAAAAGAACAGTCTTCCCCATTGTAATCTGCTAAGAAATCCTGAGAAATATTCAACAAACACAAAATTCCAAATATATGCAACGCGCATGCATGTCACATCCATTCCGAGCATTTGTCCGTCAGTATGAACATCTATAACTTTTAATCCATAAACGAAACAGGTTGCTTATTCGTATACATATCAACGTGATCACAAATTATAAAAAGATCCATCATTAGTTGTCCTTGGAACGATAGATTAGGAATAAAAAATTGGTGTGACACAAGATAGAAGTGAATGATTTAACTTGAGTTAATTTTTTTTTATTGGTGAGGGGAACCCTTATAATTATAATTCATCAATGATTATTGGCCAATGTTAATTTGGCTTGAAAAGAATGGCTAGAAAATGGTTTCACTTTCGGTTATCGACCTAAAAAATGGGTTAAGACTAGCTATAACAAGAGAGAACGCTACAGTCGAGCAAGCCCGACAGTGAAATACCCTATACTCTTAGAATTAACCGATTTAGATGAAATTTGAAACAAAAGTAGACTCTTGTGTATGAATTATGTGTGCAAAGTTTGGTTAATGTAACATTTAAAATGTCGACGGTATTGACGAAATTCTGTAGCGGGGGAAGGGGGGAAAAATTCCAAAAAATAAAATAAACTCGTCCTTTCGCGGACATAGGAGAATCTGGATACCAACATTGGTTATTCTAGCTTTTATAGTTTCTGAGATCCTTGCGTTCATCCAGACAGACGGACAGACGGACGGACATGTCTAGATCGATTTCTCTCCTCATGCTGATTCAGAATATATATACTTTATGGGGTCGGAGATGCTTCCTTCTGCATGTTACATACTTTGCACAAACCTAATATACCCTTTTTACCCGACGGGTACAGGGTATAAAAATATAGAAAGCCCGCTGAAAAACAATTAAAAGTAGCTAAAGAAAGAATTCGCCATAAAACTTCTAGAAAACCCATTAAAAAATAGGTAGAAAAAACCCATTAAAAAATGGGTAGAAAAATCGCTTGCAAAAGACTAGATACGCCGCTATAAATAGTTATAAGATCCGCAAAAAAATAGATAGAAAACCGACCGTCAACAATGGTTGCTGTTCCTGGCTTTGAAGAGGCTCATACAACGCAGTACTATTTTTAAAATCAAGACCTACAAAGAAGGCATAAATAAGCAGACGGCAAATCAACTGCTAACGATTACGAGTTTATTTTTTTACCATTAGGATAGTGCAACCATGCGTTTTGAAGCATGATCAATAGAAGAACATAAATTTTGCTTAGGTTTTAGATTGTACCGTTGCGTTAGCTGCTTTACTTGCTGTTCATTAATATGCGCCTGTTACCGTAATATTGGTTTCGTCACAGAAAAGGTTGCCGATCCAGCATTCAAGACCCTCACTCACATAAGAAGTTAACACTTCAAAAGAAACTAAATCAGGGGATAGACAACGTATCAGTACGACTTGAATGCAGAAGTAATGGCATGATTTCATGACTTCATAAATTGCCGCATGCTGCCGTTGACGGCCCTGCTCAGTGAATGGACCAGGACCATTATTCAATGTCACCCTGTTTTTCCCCACACATAACGCGTATTTCAATTGCTTTTATGTGCATCTCATCAGCAGCTGTCGCATCATGATTGTGCATTTAGTAGGCAGCATTGGGAGCAATGGTTCCGCTCACATGCACAGTCACATGGCAAACACTTCACGGGACACACAGACGCTGAGGCTTAAAAGTAAAGGACACAAAGGAGTGGGACACAAATCATGCCACAAACAACAACAAGACCAACATCGACGACGACGACGACAACATCATGAAGCATGAACAACATGTTTTTGATATGAACTCGAGTACGGGTACGAGTACGATGCCGATGATGAGAAGCAATCCATGCTGTCAGGCAACAAATTTTCACAACAACTTTATTGGGCACACTCACCCACACCTCCATCCACAGTCCGATTGCACCCACACCCACGCCCTGACCCCGATCCCCCCCTTTCCAGTCTACTCTCGTATTCAACATTCAACATCACGGTGACAGTTGATGCCTCGTTGCATTGCAAAATCGCGTAATTGGCATTTTTAAGCAAAATTCACGCTTCAACACTTTTTTGAGTGTGCGTGTCCCTCTGCATGTGTATGAGTGTGTGTTTGTACGTGTTATGGTGTGGGTTTTTAAGTTATAAGCAAACACCTTGATATGCCATACAGATGCACTCGATACTTCTAATTAGTGACTTGTGTAAGCCTTGCATTTTACCCATTTTAGGTATGTATTTCCCGCTTTACAACATTTTTAATTTACCATTTTTTTCATTTATTCATTTGTGACATGCATTTAATTAATGTTAAGCCCATTGTAATGGCAGGTGGAGATGCTCGCTGTGTTATGCAAAGCTCTCCACTCAGACAGTCAAGAGTGGGTTTTAATTGATTTTATAGGCTTTCTATTCATCAGCAGATATAAATAGTAAAAAGGTGCTTATCAAGCAAAAAACAAAATATTCAATTACAACTATCTGTTCATTTATCACGTTGTCACTATTAATAGCACTAATCAGAAGAAAAATGATTTGTAGTCGTCATATTATATTTTTATAATTATATACAAGTATATTTAAATATTGTTGAAATTTCTTTGAGCAAATTTGCTTGTAAATCAGAAACTATTCGCATTTCGAATACTCATCTCAAATTCTTGCTTTCTTCATTATCATCACACACACGCATTTAAAGGCATGTTGCTGGTTCATTGCGTTTGTACAATCCAAAAGTTTTCTAATTCGGCATTTGGAACACGTCTGAATGTAAAAATAGTTTGCATAGTTCTATTCTATTTGTAAAGTTTGATATACCCAAAAACCAAGATACTCTTAATTGTTTTTCTCTTTTTCTGAATTTTGGCAATAAGTTCATCAGCTAAAAAGTTTGATAACCTCAAAGAAATGTTACTCTCAATTGGTCTTATTTGCAGTTTTTGGAAATAAGTTTATCAATTCGTTTATTTTTAAAATATTGAGCTCACTGCAAAATTCTGGAATGTTTTAGCAGTTAAGTTGCAGAATTTTTTACCGGCATAATAGAACACATTTGGTATTTTATTTTAATAATTATTATCTAGAGAATTGACTGAAACTCTTTGCTCTAGAACAATACTCCGAATTGATCTCATAGCAATAGCAAAGCTTATATATATATTTTTTTTGAACTTGGATCAATGAGAGGCTCTAGAAATGCCAACTCTCAGAAAGGAATATTCAATTACTAAAAATATTGTGGCATTGTTCAATAATATCCCAAAAGGATATGATAAAATTTGAAATCTAGAATAATATGGGTTTAAATAATTAATAAAAATGAAAGACATTTTTGTGGAAGTCTGTAGTTTTTTCATAATAATATTCTTTAAATTAATTTAAATAAATTGAGTTCCAAAATTATTTAATAATATTCAGCTGAATCTTAGTAGATCTATATTTTTAATTTCATAATTCTTAAAAATTCCTTAAAATTGTATTTAATTCTATGTCATTCTATTAAGTTTAGGTTCATTTGTAATTCTTGTTTATCTACTTTTATTTCATTAATTAGATGAATTCTGTTCTATGCTTCTTCTTAATATTAATATTTATAATTATGTTTCATTTTTAAGTCTAACTGACTCTTTCCTTAAAGGAAATCATTTTATATGTCAACTGAAGAGTTTAAATTTTTTTTTTTTAAATTTTATTAAATTTCCTTAATTTATTTTTACATAATTTTTTTTATTATATTAATCTCTATTTATAATATATTAACATTTTTAACATTTACTTTATTCAGTTCTATTTAATTATACTTAGTTCTATTTATTTCTATTCCGGAATTTTAAATTTCATTCACTCAGTTCAAGTGATAATTGAATCCCGTTCAAAAAAAAAATATACTACTATATGCATATAAAAATAAATATTTCTTTCTAACTTTCTCTGGTACGACTTTAATTATTTACTTATTTTCAATTCAACTTTTTTCTTGATTCAATGCATTTTTGTTTTGCCTTTACGATTAATACTAACAAATATGTATTTAAATATTTTTCATTAAAATATTTTTAAAACTTGCTACAGTTTTGAGGCTTATGACATTCATAATCACCTTTTGAGTTGATGATTTAGATTGCTAGTTCGTGATTATAAAAATGTACACACAGCACATCGAAAATTGTAACCTTAGGCTGCGACTACTGTTCGACTTCTGTGCACAGTGGTGCGGTTATACCCAAGATCCATTTATGTAGCCATAAACTGTATTCAACAAACTGCATTTCAAGGTCATGGACAAAATAACGGACGCTCAGGCACGCACCAGGCAGGGGCCAGCGGTCCGAAGAAGCGAATGGTGTAGACAGACATAAAACGGCTAAAATATCGATATGGCTAGTCGAGCCAAGAATTGCGCATGCGCCACGTCAGCCGTCAGTCGTTGACTTGGCCACATAGCAACAACAATGGTGACGCGTGCCGCGCATAAATAATTGAGTCTGAGGTATTTCTGGCAGCTGGCTGCCGAAAAAAGTGTAAGTGGTAATCGGTATAAAAGCGCATGGCCCACACTTCATTGGCACACACAAATCAACTGGCCATCAAAGTCAAGAAACCAAACTAAACCAACACTCCTCAAGATGTTCAAATTCGTAAGTATACGAATATTTCTCCACCTGCCTGATCAAATATTTAAGCGAGGAATTTTTTTATTTCTCTTACAGGTTGCTGTCTGCTTCTTCGCTATGGTTGCCGTCGCCGCCGCCAAGCCTGGCATCCTGGCCGCTGCTCCTCTGGCTGCTGCCGCTCCTCTGGCCTACACCGCACCCGCTGTGGTCGGCAGCGCTGCCTATGTGGCGCCTTATGCCTCTAGCTATACCGCCCACACCATCGCCCACAGCGCCGCCTTCCCAGCTGCCTACACCGCCCCCATCGCTCCTGCCCGCCTGGCCGCCTACGCTGCTCCAGTGTCCGCCGCCTACACCGCTCCCTTCGCGCCCGCTGCCTATGCATCGCCTTATGCCGCTGCCTATGCATCCCCATATGCCTCTGCCTACACCGCCCCCCTGGCCTACAGCGCGCCTTATGTGGCACGCCCCTTTGCCGCCGCTGCCGCCCCTCTGCTGCTGAAGAAGTAAGCCTGACACGCGCTCGAAATAATGCGCCATATTCTAGTTGATATGGTCTGGCATTTATTTTATTTCCTATCTTCTTGTGATTTATATGTTTGAAAAATAAAATCTTAAGTTTTTTATATGAAATTTTTGGATACACAACAAACAAACAAAAAACAGATGCAAAACTTTAAGATTACAGCTTTGTTGAAATGTCTAAAAAGATGTGTCTAAAAAGATTGTTTTAATGCTGATTGAATAGAAACTTAAACAAGTCCACTGCAGATCAGCTAAGGAGGTTCGAAAGCAAGTGCACATAGTTCCATAGTTGTCCAAGACAAGATGAGACATCAGACTTATCTAATTAAAAATGGGAAGACATTAAATTGCGAAATATACGAAAATATTTAGTAACGAGAAATTAACTAATAGTTGTTTTAGTTCATTTAGTTTGTTTTGTCTTTTGGTTCCTTTGGTTGTTCAGTGGTTTAAGGCCTTTAGTTTGTTCAATTGTTTCATTCCTTTAATTTCTTTTACCTGGACGCTTCTCGAAACGCTGATTACAAGCTGCAGTCTACAAAAAGTAAGCCTCTGCCTAATAAGGAATTCCTATTAAAGGGTAGAATGAATGAATGTGAATCGATTGGTGCCAAAATCACTTGCAGTTGGATAGCTTTTTTGTTTAAAAATGATGTACTCGTATAACTAAAGAGAAATTGTATCATATAGCTGCCAACGATGGCGGAGTACAAATCGAATTATTAGTTATTAGTTTTTTCCAATATCGAGAGCAATATTTGGTATTTATGATATATTCTAAATTTGACCAAATTTGATGCATTATGAGTATCCTATACTTATGATACGTTTGTGTTAGTCGAAGGGCGGAGACGGCGTATTCAAGACTCGTAAATTAAATACTTTTTATATGGCAGATGTGCATCAGATTTAAAACCAACAATAGCCCATATTGTGAGACTATTTTCAAGCAGTAGTAAAATAATCCCCTCTTATTCAACTGTGGAGATATCGATGGCGATTATTTCTTTCGGTGTAGCATTTATTTGCTTATTTGGAATGCGAGGCGAGCGATTCGCATATTTCAGCTGCTCAATTAGTAGCATTTAACAATTTCAACTATTGCGAGCGCCAACTCCGATGGCCCGAACACAAGCATACAAACATTCGAACATACATATACACTTACATACGTATGTATGTATGTACTTGTAGGTATGTGGCATAAAGGGGCTATATAATGGCCTCATAAGCGAGCGATTGTTGGCTGAATTTCAATTACGGGCTAAGATGCGTATCGCTTGTCCAAAGGTGTTTGTGTAGGGCGGCGGGGGAGCGATATATATCTGCATGTATTATATATGAGTTTGCATTATTGTCCTGGCTGGTATATGCATTTATGTTTGTGCAATGAACCACAAGGTTGCGCTTGCTTGAGCTTAAATTGTGGCACACACACACACACATACACTATATATGTACGTACAAGTCATGTTGATAGACGCCCCCGAAAACCACAAAAACCACAACGCCACAATCCACCAATGTATGTACAAGTATATGTTAATATTGAAAATAGCGCCACGCGCTGACACGACTAACAGCATCCATTAGCCAAAATCAATCTGGAGTCACAATCTATATAGAAGCCGTCGGCAAACATACATCAAGAGTGACAAGCGTCTGAGCAGACAACGTTGACTTATTACAGTCAATAAATAGCGCATAGAGATGGACTTTGAACAATATTTAAACTGAAAAGCCAATAAATATTAATAACTTATCAACTTGCAAAATTATGCAATATCTTATGTTGAACACATAAACAAAACTACATAAACATTAAGTTAAGATTGGCAGTTAGATTTAATTTGAATTGAGTTGACAGTTGTTATAGAAGATATTTATTTATTAATTAAATATTATTGGAGAGGATTATTTAAGCTACATTAATAATCTTTGTATTTCTTTATAGCATTAAGTACCTTACATTAATAGAAGAGATTTAAAAAGTTTCAAGTTAAGACGCATTCAGTTAATATTGAATATTTTGATCTCAATTGAGTCAATTGAGTTCACTTGGAGACAGTTTAAAAGGAAGAGATTTATTGAGTTCTATTTAATAAAAATTTAAAAACTATAGTAATGTTATTTCCATAAGTTATGGCATTAAATTCTAATAATCGGTTTGCAATTTTATGATTTAATTTAATAGTATCAGTCTGCATCTGTTTGCAAATATTGAACTTGAAAATTTTTAATAAATTGATGTTTTTTTTAAATATTTGTTAGGGGCTGCTTAAAATATGATTATTTTATTTGAATAAACAAAAAGGCACTTTTAATAAAAGATGTATAAACATGTTTAATTCTAAACAATTGAAATTATTGCTTATGAACAATCTATTCGAGTATCGTTACTTTTTAGTTCATAAGCTTACAAAAACAGTCGTAAATGTCAGAATTTAATTTTTTTTGCCTTTAGTGTCTTTTTGTTAAGCGAAGATATATTGAAGATTTAATTGTAAACAATTGTGTTTATTTCGTATCAACATTCCGATCAAGTAAGAAAGATTAAGTGTTTAAGCCTCCGAATATTCCATAATTTCATGTTAGGGTATACTTTTAAGTAAATGGATGCTATAATTTTTTCGTATGTACTTATTATAACATTTGTAGTTCATATAAAGAAAAGTAAGTATTAATTTTGAATATTCATTATTTTATATATACAAGTACACATCTAATATATTTATATTTAGTATGTATTTCTTTCATAAAGCTTAGTAAAACTGTTAGTATTTGATTACTTTTTGAATATTTACAAAAATTTCCCAAAATAGTTTTTTTTTGTTATAAATAAAGCAAAAATAATTTTGTGAAGTCTATAAGAATAGTGTTTGAAAATTGGTAGCTTTATAGATTTCCTTGCTTCAAAAAATAATCGAACTTAGAGGCATCTCTAAGCTCAATGCCTGCAGATTCTAAATTGAAATTGACACCTGTGTTGGCGTTGACAAGCAAGCCAAACCGATGACAGCTTCAAGACCTAATACGGTCCGAAAGCGAGCTTTTAAACAAACTGTTCGATGAGGAGTAACATTTTGAAAAGTTGCCGCTACCACGCCTACCAACTCGATTGATGTCCCTTAATAAATTCAAAGCGTTAGTCAGGCAGCGAGGCATCGGAGGTTGCCAAAAGGTTGCCTTGCTTGTATTTTATCAAAAGTTGTGAAAAGTTTTGGCCTACAACGTGCCTGACTGACTGACTGACTGACTCGAACTACTTGTTGATAAACTGATAAAAGCGTGCTGGCACTGGCGCTTCAAGAGTGCAAATTTTTGTTTGATAAACTATAAGCTTCGATGGCAAGCAGGCAGGCAGCAACAGCGAACATAGGAAGTGGAGAAGGGGGAAAGGGGAAATAGCAGCATCAGTTACCAAAAACTTTGCCAATTATCGTTTGGCCGTGTGCCCAGAAGAGCGCCCCAAACCACAATCACAGGACCTCCCTGTAGGATTGTTGGGCTACCTTGCCCAACGACCAACGGCCGTTGTGGTCGTGAATGGCTGGTTGGGCAACAACTTTTTGACTTTATTGTTGACTTTGTTAAATGTGGCTAAATGGGCGTAAATGACCAACAACACTGGCACACACACAAACACACACATGTTTGTGTGATTGTGTGTGCGAGGTTTCTCATGTTAAAGCAAACAGAAAAGGGTTAAAAGTTTAGGCAGACGACCCCTCTGGCGGCTACCTTAAAGTTTTGCATCCATCAGAGTTCTCCTCCGCACATATACATACATACATACATACATACTCGTACATATGTGTTGCCTCTGGCAGATTACAACGAATTTTGTGCTTCAGTAAATGTTGTGGCTTCTAGACTTTGCACCCCAGCTGGCTGTACTTTCATTTCATCGTAAAGGCGAAGCTGTTGGTAAGTTCCTTGCGGTTTATTCTGCAGATGAAAAGACGCAATGAAATGTAAACACAAGTCGAGCTTTCGCACAGCACACCTGCACAACAACTCCAACAATATGGTGAAGGCAAAGGGAAGCAAACAGCAACAATGTGAGCAGCAGAAATGCGCCAAACCGAAGAGGAAATACCTCATTACAAACAAACGAAAAAAAAAATAAAAAAAAAAATAGGAAAGAAGACGCAACCGCAAGCGCATCCACACACCTTTTCGAACCCACCTGCTCATCCATTGGAATTATGCGGTATTGTCTAAAAATGAGTTTTGGTTGCTTGTTGCTATTTTTACGTTTCATCGAACAAAAGCAAAGTATGTGTGTATGTATAAGGTATACACGGCGGCAACAACAAAAGCTGAAAGCTGGCTAACAGAAAGCACTAAGAGGGTGGGCGGACCGCGAATACCCTCAACAGCAGATCATACTACTCCCAGCAATGAGCAACGAGCGACGCGTGCAGAGCGAAGACCAAGCATTATGCGAAACAAAAATGCAATTGGTACACCCCACAACATTTCAAAGTACCAGATCGAGCTTGTCCTATACTCTTTGACCGAAGTCTACTGCTCAACTCGAAAAATATAAAACAAGTATGTTTGAAAGCAAATCATTTCAAAATTCATTCCATAATTTAATTTAATGTTTCATTTCTCACCTATCTAACCGTTTTTTTTTTCGTGACTTTCCAATATTGGAATTATGTCATATTTTGGAACATTCTCGTACATTTTAGTTATGAGTTGGCCAACAAGACGTCAATCTGGCCAACTTTAGGCAAACACTAAGTCAGAATTAGTTGTCTACATATTTTTGAAGCAAGTAATTCAATCGGGTATATAGTTTAAACATTTATTAATTTTGTTTTCAAATAACAAATATTACTTATCGATAGAGTCCAAGAAGTTAGAAGTAAACACAAACAAATGATTGTTTCCTATCCAAATATAATCGTACAAACATATATAAATTCATTAATGAATTGGATTTTTTGGATAAAAATTTGAAATCTATTCCTTTT